AAGTAAACAAAAAACGAAAAAAACGAAAAAGGTAAGTAAGTAAATAAATAAAGTTAAGGAAGTAAGTAGGTAAGGAAGTAGTATGTAGTAGTATAATATATATATATATATATATATATATATATATATATACAGTACTTCTTTAACCCTAATTACATGAGGTCAGCCTAGTGGAAGGAATCAGATTTTTCAACAAACTATTTTTAACTGAAGATTTATCTGTGAATTTAGTCTGACTCTGACTAGTCTGAATGCAAGATGATTTTTATTCTAAGATTAAAAATACTTTTTTCATTTTAAAAGTTTTCATATTTCAATTGCATAACTCCTAGAACCTCTTAATTGAATATCAAAAATTTTTTTTCAGTAAGATTTTGTTTTATCTGTTATATCCTTTACCCTAATACTAACTGTTTACAGGCTTGGTCAGTTTGACTGATCTTGTAATTGTAACTTAGTAAAAAAATACAATTTATCTAAATTACCCTCTTTCTTTCAAGAATTATTACACTGTTACAAACAATTATACACTATTTATTCTTACAACCAAAATTAATACAATTCAAATCTCCTGATCATTTATACTTATTAATTTACTGCCAATTAGACTGTGGCCAGAGCAAATTATCACAGTGGGGAAGCTTTTTTTTTTTTGTAACCAAAATATTGAGTTATCAGCATGCTTGGTCAAATTACAATGTGCTGCACTTACAAGTGCATAACCTATTTAGTATTTTTGAAATGTTTTTTAATTTTTACATTTTAGTTACTTTATAACGATGAATAAAAAATTACAATAAAAAACAAAAAATTTAGTGCTTATGCTTCTGGACTGGACTCTAATTTTTTGATGAAGTTTCAGTAAAATGAAATCTATTTTATGATAGGGCTGCTAGTTCTTTACGTAATTTATATTTATTTTAAGTATGCAATTTGGAGCAGAAAATATTAGCATGTTAAAAAACAAAACAGTATCTGAAACTGTTATAACTTAACTGGCTTTCTAACTAAGCTATAAGTGTGTTAAAATAATTCCCTTACCAGGTAAATTTGATCTCAGCAGTAGCAAACTATGAAATTGATGCAGAGTAACTCTAAACTTGTCATCAAAATGAGCCAGCCTCATATGGAAATCAATAAATTAACATTTTATCTTTCTGTACATTATAAATAATCCGTTAACAAATGTAACAGAAAATTATTGATATTTTTTGAAAGATAGAGTGGTAAGAAAGCATGGCATATGGGCTTGATTTTTGGATTTACGCCTTAGTAAAGCAAGAAGTTTGGAGGCTCCAAGTTTACATTATGTGTTAGCAATATTTATATTATATTTGTGCATTTTATGTTAAACTCAGGGGTTCATATAGGGAGAAAAATAACTAAAATGGGCAATTTGAAACAAAGAAGTGTCACATGATGCAGAAGAGTAAAGACTGAGAATTTACTGAAACAATTTCCTTCTGGATTTAAGAAATTAAAACTTATATTGAAATTTGCATTATAAGCAACATTTTTATGTCAGTTTTATTGACATGCAATGATAATAAAGTTATTTAATTAAATTTTGAATGTAACTCTGTAAAGATAATGACTTTGGCCTCCACTGTTGCAATTAGGGTTAATATTGCTTACTATAACTCTTGTTGTAAAGGACTTTTATAATAATGCTTGCTTATTCTACAGGATTTTTCTAATGGAGAGTACTATGATCCACATATACAAGACATTTTTTAATAGTGAAAACTATGATCCCTTCATACAGGTTTTTTTACTACTTTATAACTCATAAATGACTTCTGATAGTGTATACTATGATATATATCATAAGTGACTTTCTAATAATTAATATCATGGTACCTATCATATAATATTAATATTTTAAACATTTTAATGAGGTACATTTTGGCTTTTGTGTTATCACAGGTTCAAGTCCACTTAGAAGTTTACAGCAGAACTATACATTACATTCGCATACACCCCAACTTAATGCACAGAGAATTCTTCGTGGAATGCAGCTCTCTAAGCCTATTCTCTTGGAAGGAATTCCTGGAGTTGGTAAAACGAGTCTAGTTACATCTCTTGCTAAAGCTTCAGGACATCAACTAGTTCGTATCAACTTGTCAGAGCAGACAGTAAGTTAAGATATGTTTGAGATAGCAATGACATTAGCAAATAACAGCAAGAGATACATTTTTCTCTTCACTGTAGTAATAACAGTAGGAATGAAATAAGTTCCATTCAGTGTAGTGATAACAGTAAGCAAAAAGTTCCTATCGATGTCAAAGGAGAGAAATATGTTCTGTTCCATGTAGAAATAACAGTAATTCCTTTCAGTGTAAAATTATAAGTTGGTGATAAATTTCTTTCAATATTGTACTAAGAACAGTAGGAGAGAAATAAGTTCCACCACTACAGTAATGGGATGTAATAAGTTTCCTTCATTGTAGTAATACCAATAGGAGAGAAATAAATTCTACCACTGTGGTAGTGAGATGTAATAAGTTTCCTTCATTGTAGTAATAGTAACAGCTGAATGGAAATTAATTTCCTTCACTATTGCAGTATTACTTTGTGTGAAATTAATGTACAATATGGTAATGGTAGGAAGTAAACATGTTCTGTTCTGCAGTGTTATAAGAGTAGGAAAGAAGGGTTTTTCAGCTTAATAACAGTGGGGAAAAAATATAGTCCCCTAAGCATTGTAACAGAAACAAATCTTTCACTTGTTTGTTGATAGTCACTTTTTTTCTGTCTCTGCCCCACTTTAGTTGATGATCTTTAGGGGTTTGGTAGCTAAGTTAAATGTGATTGTCTTAAGTAAGTCAATTAAAAGATCCAAAATTAAGCTGTTCATTTAGGATGGTAAAACCAAAACCATCTCATTGATTTGTTTTATTTGGTATAAATATTTCATTTCTCTGGAATATGTTATTTTGTAGGATGTGTCAGACCTTTTTGGAGCAGATCTTCCAGTAGAAGTTGGGAAAGGAGGACAGTTTCAGTGGAGAGATGGTCCTCTTCTACAAGCACTTAAAGCTGGACAATGGATTTTACTGGATGAGGTCAGTGAATATTTGGTAAAAACAATGATGATATTAGTATACAGTAGATTGTGATTGGCACTGTGAACTGATATTGCAGTGGAAATACAAACTATAACATGCATACAAATGTACATTAAAATGTTGGTGGAACCATACACTGAAATATTTCTGGAAATGTACACTAGAAGAACATTCATGAAAATTAACATTAAAACAAGTATAGATCTGTCTCAAAAAAAGCCCAACAATCTCTAAACTTGTACTGTTTTTGAAGTCCACTGCAGGAATCCATTAATCTCAAATTATGAGTGGAAGTTTTTGTAAAGTGAAAATAAACTGCCAATACTTCAAAAAAAAAATATTCAAGTTGGGGAACCAATGAAATTAATGTATTACTTTCAATGATTGTTTAAAAAAATGTGATTATATTGGATTATTTGAAGGCATGTGGTTTTAGAGGCTTCTGGCACAATAACTAAGTTTTTATACATCTATATACTACTAAAACTCTGAGATTGTTTGTTTGTTTGCTTGCATTTCTAACATGGCTGGAAATGTACATCAAAACATGGTTGTTAATATATACTGCAACATAGCTCTTAGAGAAGAAAGATGATGCAATATTTGTAGTTCAATGTTTTGTAATATTAGGCTTTTAAATTTTTTACTAATGTTTTATTAATGCTTTGACTACAACCTACTTACATTGTAAGTAAGTATACAACTCTCATGAAAGTTCTTTACAAAAATGAAACTAGTAGATAAAATTATTTTAAATTTGAGATGAAAGGTCTTATAAGTATATAGTTTTTGAAAAATAAGATATTTAATTTTTGATTTTTTTTCTAAAGCAACGATTTTCTATGTCTTTTTTTTTTCTTTTCACATGTTGCCTATCCAACATG